TCAAAAGACTAATCAAGCAATTTCAGTGGTGAAAATTTTTTTATTTCTTTACGTAATCATAAACGATGTTTCGCTTTATGGTGTTAAATCTTCATCAAATAGATGATAGCGCAGGGTAGAGTGACCTTCAACAAAAAGAAGTCACTTTTATGTTCGCGCACAGTTAATTTAGAAATTCGAAAAAGACCGTTAAAGGGCGCTGCACGACTGCAAAACAGGGATGGTGGGCACGGTGGAAAAGAAGAGGTTAGAAGCGTTCAAAATGTGGTTTTGTAGGCGAATGATGAGGGTACCGTAGATAAAGAAAGTCAGAAATGAAGAGATACTAAAAAGAAAAGGAGAACAGAGGACCCTATGGCGGTTAATAAGAAATAGGCGAGATACGTTGATAGGACACCTCAGACAAGAAGGGCTAGTCAGAGACATATTGGAAGCAGAAATAGCAGTTAAGAGGAGTAGAGGTAGACGTAGTTTAGATTACTGTTCACAAATGGTTAAGGATACGGAATGTTCTCGTTTTAGGGAAATGCAAAGATTACCTCAGGATATAAAATCAAACCACTCTTAGGATTGACGACCTTATGACACATTCTAAAACTCTTTATAGTTTGTATATTTTTTTTCGGTAAAAAATACTCTTTGAATGTCTAGGTGTTGCACTCCCACGAGCTAGTAATGCTAAGCAGTGGTTTAACCACACTGTAGTGCAGAGCTGGAGGATAGAGCAGAAGGCTCCCTTCGAACTCCTTATAAGCCGTCGGATAGAGATAGAACATGAAGACAGAGTAGAAATGAAAGATTATCTGTGGTAAGATCAAAGGAACTAAAAAAAGACTTGGACCAGAGCAGGCTGGCCAGAATTTAAATCGGCGCGTTCTCACGAATGATATGATCTGGTCAACTAGATACGATCAAAAGTTTAATTAATTTATTTTTTATCATTAGCATAGAGTACTAACAGGACAGTTTATGTATATATTGTAGATTAACATATATGTATATAAAAATCGCTTCGTTAATCCGTTGCAGTTTATATAAAACAATTAAAAAAACGTCGGAAGAATCACATAAATAAATTATGTTCTTGCAGACAATCAAAGAACACAAAAACTTTACAATCCTTAACATTATAACAAAAAGTAAGAATGATCTACATAAGCATTAAAATTTAGGGGGGGTGGGTATTATGGTGTCTTTTCAGAAACCCTTTTTTCCAAAAGAAAAGTATTTCTGTTAGTTAAGCGAACTTTAAATACTTTCATAAATAGCATCTCTGGCAAGTTATCACTTTGTTCACGTTGACGGCACTGAATTTCTAATTACAATTTCCGACATGGGCATTTAAAACTGATGCTATCTTTGACGTTTCTATTATTTTCTACGGGTGGTCTCACGTTATGCATATTACCGCCGCTGTCAAAGGGTTTAAATGTTATTAGTACTATCGATAATATATCGTAAGATGATATAAAATTTATTTCATTCTATTATTACAACAAAGGAGATGGTTCTGATTGATTAATTCCTGCACAAAACTGTTACATATCTTCAAAGATGTAATGTGTACTTCTCTGAGATAAAATACCTACCCATTGAAAGATTGATCGATAACTATAACTCCAAATGAACTATCTGCATATAGGGAGTAACTAGGTTCAGTCGGTATTTACAGGGAAATGCTACATTTATGATTGTAAATTTTATGTGGTCTTAATTAATGTTGAATGTTGTTAAATACTATTGGTTGTATTTCTTTCCCTTATTTCAATCAAAACCAAAATGGGGTTGTAAATACTTTTTGTGATATAAAAAGATTGATGTCGGTTTTATATCAATACAATTATTTACAACCCCATTTTGGCTCTGTTTTTAACGCTAAAGAAGCTAGTTTGGCAACAGCAATATGTTCATTTTTCAAATTAAAATAAGTGCCACAGGTAAATTAATCACCTTAAGCAGAAAAATGAATATTACATTTGAAATGGCAATTCAATAAAGTATTTGCATTTTGTATTTAAATACTTTTAGCAAACCATTTTGTACATAATCATAAGGTCGTCAGTTCTAAGACTGGTTGGACACGCACCTCCATTCTGTTCTTTCCTGAGTTAATGTCTAGTGTCCTACTAACCGATCTCGCCTATTTCTTATTGACTTTCATAGAATCCTCTGTTCTCCTATTCGTTCTAATACCTCTTCATTTTTAACCTTCTCTATTCACAGTATCCTCAATTTGTACAGGCCTGACGCTGGAAACTGGCGGAAATTTTAAAATGGCGTGGATGCGTGGTGGCAAAAGTAGGCAGTTTTAGGTATAAAGATTGCAGCCCTCATTCTTCAGTATTCCTATCAGGGGCGTAGATTAAATATTTAAAAATAGGGATCAGTGAGCAAGTAATAGACAGACAAACAGAAGAACTAATTGTTGATGTTGGTGACAGTGATAGAGATTCCCATGATGACAGTGAATGTGAAAACTAACTATAAAACAAAAGCAATAGGTTAATTTTTTCTTTTTGATAAGTCATGTTTTTACATTATTTTCTAGTACGCTACTGTCCTATCTGTATTAATACTATAATTTACGCCTACTGAAAGCTGATTTGTGTATCGGTTCCAAGTGACTTACCCAAATGGGTCATAAATGGGCAAGTACCTGCGCGACCACTCGCCAGCTTTCTTCGTCAGACCTGTACATCTCTACAAAAAAAATTGTTCTAGCCATAAATACCTCCTATTATTTGATATTTTTTGACTGGCTGTATGTAGGTAACAGACTAAATTAAATTTTCGCTGCACAGGTTGAGTTCTGTGGAATATATATATTATGTATGTGTGGGAAAGATGTCCTTATAAAGCAACCGTAGCTAATTTAATTAGGCAATCAAATCAAAAGATCGCAAGGTAAAGGATTTACGACTAACTTAATTCAACTGAATGACAGACACGTACAAAATTTAGATGTCAAGATTCTTTGATAGCATCTTAATTCGTTAATTGTTCTGATTATGTAAATTAAGCGCGGTAATAGAATCACATTGGTAATGGTATTACAGCATGCCTTTTATGCCTATTGTTATTGGTTGATAGAACTGTAGTACGCATGTAAATGACATAACGTACCTACTTACAAGGGGCAAGATAAAAGAGAGTCAATCTTTACGAAAAGACAAATTATTACGTAATTTCTACTATAACATAAATCCATGGAGAATATCGTCCCAATGACAATTTCTGTTTAGTATTAAGTGTTAAGATGTTGTCGTTGAATCGAAATTTTTGATTAAAAAGCCAACAAGCTTTTAACGTCACAGGATGGTAGAAGCTTTACCTAAAAGCTCTAGTTAAAATTGTACGTGTTATGAACCATTGACAACGTCATCAGTCCACATTTGGACGGATTATCCTAGTGTAACTAATAATAATGTGTTTCAAGACAAATTTAATCTCAATTCACATTCCAAAAAAGAAAACAAGAAAAATTTGTCATTTCTCTGCTAATAATAACGACAGAATCTTCCTAAATACTCTCCTTTATTTAATATAAATCAAAAATCACACTAACCGATGAGATAGATGGTATTCATAAATCTTCTACTTAATATCATTTACAACTGTCAAACATTCTAGCAAAGCTTTCATCGTGTTTCCAAGATATTAATTAAACGCTTGTTGGCTTTGTTCATCATCCGTCATTTCTTTCTGAAACACTAAGGCCATTATCGGAATTCTTGTGTCTTTTTCTATTTGCGACTGTACAACGTTAAAACTACTGACCTGATTTGGATAGAATACAATATTTAATTTTCATTTCATCGCAAATTGTTTTAAATAATCAAACATTAAACAGTGAATTTGATGAAAATTTTTATTGATGTAGTAGGATCAATATTATTATTATCTAAAATTAACTCAATTCGGCTGATTCTACTATAGGAACCAAGTTTCGGGATTATGAAAAAACAAGGATTATGAGTCTTTAAAGACCAACACAAATTGGGAAGAGGTATTTTAAAAATATTAAGAAATTTCATTACCCAATAGATATGTTTCATAATTTCTAGATTTACATTTGGAAATTAAGTTGCGAAAGTTTTTGGAATAGTAAAAGTACAAATAAAACGAAATTGTTGTCTGAAACCATGTAGGCTCAAGAAAAGTTTGGAAATTAATTTTAACTTAAAAATCACATAAGTTTAAATGGTAGAAAGTTCCGATCCTAGTTGGGTTTACTATTAGGTTGATTCAGGAAGCCGTTTGAGGTCTTCTTTCTATTATCATTTGATCACTCATCGAGACGTACCCATAAATGAAAATAAATTGATCAAATGTAACACTAATTTCTCTCTATTCTTTTGTTCATTACTGAATTTAGGGATAATGCGTAGTTCCCTCCCATATACCTGTTTTTAATTAGGGTTAAAATTTTCGGTATGTCGAATTCCCTCCTAATTATACATCAATTACCTCCCAACGGCGGCGGATGACCTTAAGTGCTAATTGCCACTATAAAGTCATAAAGAGTTGTTTAAATAATGCAGCCTTACATCACATATTAATCTTAATATTATTCATATATTATACATACCACAATAATTTTCAATGTGAAATTTATGTTACAATACGAAGTGTTTCATCTAATTTTAAAAAATTGTTAACAAGACAAATTAAAACTAATAAAGTTTTTCTAGATGATTGCATCAAAAAGCTAGACGCACACGAATTTCCAAACATTGAATTTGTTAAGGTACCCGGGAGGGAATTCGACTATCTATATTTTAACCAAAACTACCTGCGGGAGGGAATTCGGCATCACCGGAATTTAGTAGCTAGAGTACTATTAAGAATGCTCCCATGATGTAAAATATTAAATGGTTTTAATAAAATTATTTTTATATGAATAAATTATTCGCTAACAAAGGTTTAAAACATTGCATCCTCCTTTGGAGGTAGATACTTAATGAAGACGTTCATGTTTTTTTCACTACTATTTGCTTTACCTACCTGTCGTTCATGCAGAGGATACCGGCTTGTTGTTGTTGACGGATGAAGGCACAGTGTAAAGTCAAAACTTTATAAGGTATACGAAACTGCACATAACAAAAACTGTAGAAAGTTTGCTTATTATTATAATGACGCACAAGCACAAAATAAGACACAAACGTCTTCTAAAACAGAATCAGATATGTCGTGTTCTCCGACCGCACTGTCTACTCTCATAATACGTACTCAACCACGATGAATATTGTATTAGAAACAGCAATTTTAAACTCTCCTCGATTTGAAACAAACAAAGTCAGAGTAAGGTCAAATCGTAGTAAACAGTGAACTGACCATCTTAGAGGCCCTCTCGTGATGATTAGTAATAAAAGGAATAAACTTGGTAAAAGGAATAAATACGTCAAAAGATAACTGTAACTGTTTAGAGCAGGACGATCTGTAATAGATATTAACTGAATATTTGTTTTCTTATTACGGCGAACCAAAGGAAGAGTTATGAAGTTATGCATGAGGGATGACATGCAGAGTAGACATTTGATTAGTTACAGTTTTCGTCCACCAATCTGATTTTAATCAACAAAATATACGTACCTGACTATAAAAAATTAATCTTAATTATAATATTATGCACGGGAATGTAAGTTTGTTTGTTTGTTGGCTTTTCACGCATTAGCTACTTAACCGATCATCATGAAATGTTGCAGACACATTGTCAGGGGTAGAGGAAAGGATATAGGGTACGTTTTATCCAAAAAAAAATACTGTTCCCATGGGATAAAAAAAATTAGTTTTATGTGGTCGATTTCACGCTGTAACTAATTAATCGATCATCATAAAATTTTGTAGACACATTTTCAATTGTAAAGAAAAGGACATAGGGTACCTTTTATCCCGGAAAAAATACTGTTCCTGAGGGATAAAAAAAATTAGTTTTACGTGGTCGATTTTACGCTTTAACTATCCGAAGGATAGAAAAATTAGTTTAATGTAGTCGATTATATGTCTTAACTGCTCGATTGATTATCATGAAAATTTGTAGACACATTGTCAGGGGTACAGAAAAGGACATAGGGTATCTTTTATGCAGAAAAAATACTGTTCCCGAAGGATAGAAAAATTAGTTTATGTGGTCGATTATATGCCTTAACTGCTCGATTGATTATTATGAAATTTTGTAGACTCATTGTCAGGAATACAGAAAAGGACATCGGGCATTTTGCCCAAAAGAAAAAAATGCTGTTCCGAAGGGATAAAAAAATTAACTTTATGTGATCTTCGATGATCTTTGAAACGTATTTAGGACATCGACGCGAGCGAACCCGAGCGAGTAAAAACTACTAAATAATAATATGTTATACCTAATATTTTAATTTCTTTATCCTGATATTACTTATTGAAACATCTCATGCCTATTATAGTAAACTTAAAAAAATAAATACGGTGTACCAAAATGAGAGCTACATTATGTAGCTTTTGCGAATACTGTAGGTGAAATATAATTTTTGATCATATATTGGCATAGTTACTTGTTCTGTTGGAAGTTCTTTAACCATAATATAGTTGCTACACTTTTGGCAGACGTACCTACTCTAATATTAAACAGTTTGGTAGAAATAATTAAATTTGGCCACGTTTAGCGCTTAAGATATCTCGGCTTCAGTTATGCAGCTAGCAGAAGCGCTTGGTTGGATTAATGTTAACTCCTAAGCATGCAGCGTACTGGATTGCATAGTAGTATTACCATAACTGATTTCGACACGCCGTAAGCTCGATTAAATCCAGGACGATCTCCACATTAAGTTGTTAGACTTCTCCCTTGGATTATCCAGGTGCGGCATTGTGGATCTAAAATCGTTATTCTGCGGCAGGGAGTTTGTAGATTTCATATAACAACTTTCTCAATTAATTAAAATTGTATTACTCGGTTGCTTATATCTACATGTAGGAAATTATGTATTTTTCATATAAAAATTCCATAACTTTAAATGCATTAAAATTAAGGGTTTCATACCCTAAAAAGCCAAAATAAATCCCTTAAGCTTAAACTTCTTGCCTCAAAATGTATATAATACAAAAACTTTAAAGTTTTATACCTACTAATATTTTCATACAATTATATAATGAGCCACAATTACTTTATGATCATGTTATCAATATCAGTTGTAATTATCAGAACCTACCCTACTACTTTCAGTCCCAATGTCCCAACGACAAAAATCACGATTTGCCTGCGGTTGTCGTACCTTAATAATTTATATTTTTGCAAATTGTAATTGGGTGCAATTTGTAATGCAAAACCGCATTCATTGGTAATTTCGTAAATTAATTTCTCAAGAGTTATGGCTTGCAAGATAATAACAAGTTTGTTATTAAACTAGAGATAAATTGGCTGATTAGAGAAACCGAAGATATAAATTGTTTAATGCTATTATGAAAGAGCGAAAAAAGTTTGAAAGCCAATTTATCTTACTACAAGTAATACACAGTGTATTATTACTCTAAATATCGAATTAAAATTGTTTAGTGGTACTCTAATTCGAACGTATGTATTTATGTAAACTTAAAAGTTCCTAGCTTCATCCACATCCTTAACTATTTGCGAACAGTAATCTAATACAGTAATTTACAAGCATTAACATAATTTTATTCATTTAGATATACTCTGAAGAAATCTCGTCCCTCCCAGCTATCATCGCGTATGCGCCACTGTTAAAACAACTATTTTTAGAGTTTAAAGCTAACCAAACAATTTGTTCATTTTATAGAATCGAATCCTGCTTTATTTGTTTTCGTATAAAAAACATCGGACATGAAATCGATGATGTAACCAATTAATAATTTAAATTTGGAAGCGAGTTTCTCCGAAAGTAAACAACTAACAAAGTTAATTTGGAAGATACAAACGGTTGTTGCTTGTTTTCTCAATTTTCTGATTTAATTAACGGACAAGGTATTGTTACACTTTCGTTTTAAAACATCGTTTTTTCTTTATCTTCTGTTAAAGATTTGTTTTTAATCTCACGGAAATTCCCTGATTTCTTTTTAATGAATTTAACTGTAAATAATCAAGGAAAGATGAAAGAAGAAACTTCATCTTAACGTAAAGAAGACGTTTTTTAAGAGAATAAGGGATAGCTTTCTCCAGTTTACTTCCATTTTTTCAAGTCTAAACCTAATTTCCATAAGAGATCTGTCAAAAAGAAGTTTAGAGAATTAGTTCCAACATTAATAGTGAAACTGACATAAGCGTGCAGAGCCACTGTGCTACAAACTGTAGCATACTTTATCGGGATATTTTATGAACAGCTATTTGTAATTTTCGTTTGACGGAAAGCATCCAGCTGTCTGGGATTCCATAACGAGATTTACCCGTTACTAGGTGAACACGTTGATGTTCTCGCGTAAAAGATGAAAGAGAATGGAACGCCTTTTTGACGAAGAAACAACTTTACGCGCTACCACGTCACGCTTGCCTCGAGGTTTTCCCGTCGTGTAATTCAAAATACATGGCGCGACGGCAGTTTAGTTTGAAATATTTCCACATTTGAGTCCCTTATTCGTAACTAACTTATGGAATTAACAGCCTGTTTTTGTAACTATTTGCAATAAAATGATAACCAGGTGAAGAGAAATTAGTGATAAATTATTTTTACGTCTATGTCATAATCTGTACAAACTTTGGTAAAGGTCTAGATGATGGCCCCCCACCCTCGAAGGGGGTGGGGATCGAAAGAGGAGGTCTCCCCCACCACTGTACCATAAAAAGTTCGTGGCGGTCTCAGCCCCATAAAAAGTTATAGGGGTTCAAAGTTAATAAATATGCCAATTTTTATACATTTCTAGGCATGTAAATATTTATATAGTCATTCTTAAACAATATTCAAAGGTAAAACTAATGAAAAATACATAAAAATATTGAGAAAGTTATATAAAACATTATTTAAATATCTTTATCAATAGGGTAGGTTAGGTTAGGTTATCGGGTTTTGTTCAAGTGACCACCCTCTTTCGATCCCCCACCTCCACCCGCTTGAAAATAATTTTTTTATTGAATTTTATTTGAATTATAGTGTATGAAAATTGTCAAAATAATCAACTTTCAACCCCCATAACTTTTTATGGGGGTGAGACCGCCGCAAATTTTTTATGGGGTTTTACTCAGGTGACCACCCTCTTTCGATCCCCCCTACCCCCTTTCGATCCTTCCTACCCCCACCCTCCTCTAACCCCAGTAACTTTTTATGGGGGTGAGACCGCCACGAACTTTTTATGGTACAGTGGTGAGGGAGACCTCTTCTTTCGATCCCACTCACCCCCACGGGGACATTTACCCAAACTTTTACGGATTTACCAATTCATCACATAATCATGTCAAAATTGAATCCTGTTTTGGTCTGGCGATAAGCAAAGCAAAATCAAGATTAAGATTGTCCTGGCCATGGTATTGATTTTGTTCTTGCCTATTAGATCTTGGTCTTAGTGATATAGCCTCGGTTTTGGTCTTGCTCAAATACTAATCTTGGTCTTGGTCTGGGTCATGGATTTGAGTGTTAAGTCTTGAGCTTGCTCATTTAATCTGATATTTACTCTTTTTTTAATAATTAGTCATAACACCGATACTTTACCAAACCACTATCGAGGTACAGTGTTGCAAATTGTTTAGGACAGCTTTCAGTTTAAAGAACGCTATCTCTTCACGGGTGTAGTCACTTAATAAACAAATATAAACAATAATTAAAAACGCTGACATCCAGCAATATTTTAGATCTTCGCTAAATGACGTTGCATGAATAATTTTGCATACACATTCACGATTGCAATGTGCTTAAAGCAATAAATGCACGAAGTATCAATCGTGTTGCACTTTCAACCCATCGTGTTGAGTATCTGCAATAATAAAAGATTGATGCATACAGTTCATCGACATATTCATCGCGAATTAATGCCCCAGACCGATGCTGTGGTCGCGAACGTGACTGATTTGCAATCAGCTAAACGTTTTAAAAGTCCGATAAATAAATATTATGTCGTCTACAGACAAAGTAGACATTTAATGATAGATGGTATTGCATACAGACGTTTGTTCGTCAACGAAATGAATAAATATAAATTGATATTTGAGCACCATTATCATAAAGTCGTCGGTCCTAAAACTGGTTGGACACGTACCTCCACTCTTTTCTACCCTGAGCTCATCTTCGTATTTCCTTAAAACTAGAACATCCCACATCCTTAACTATTTGCGAACAATAATCTAATCTAGGCCTACCTCTAATCCTCTTAACTCTTGTTTCTGCCG